TATTACCAAAGGGTTTCTATTGAAACAGTGAATTGGATTATGCCAATAAGAATGCCAATTAAACTATTAATTGCTAAAAAAAAATAACTATTCCAAACAGTTTTACAAATGTGGCCTAGTTTGTCACTCTACTTGGAGGGAAGAAAAAAGAGCATCTTGTTTTCATTATTAAAAATTGTTTATTATTTTAATAAATATGGTTTATTTAGATATCTTTAAAGAAATAGTGAAAAAAGTGGTTTTTTTTTTTGGTGAAGAAAATTGGCCTTGAGCTGACATCTGTTGCCAATCTTCTTCTTTTTGCTTGTCAAAAGAAGATTGTCACTGAGCTAACATCTGTGCCAGTCTTCCTCTACTTTGTATGTGGAATGCCACCACAGCTTGACTTGCCGAGCGCTGTGTAGGTCTGTGCCTACATGTGAACTGAACCACTACACCACTGGGCTGGTCTCAAAAAAAGATTTTCATGAAGAAAACTAGCTTCAAAAAAATATGTCAGTTTTTGACATCAGCACTGCCTCTGATAAGAAGACATAATTTAAGTTCAAAGCCTGAAAAAAGTTAAAAGTTTAAGGAAGATTTCTGAAGGGTGATATTATTCATTCCACACATTCAGAAGAGTAGGAGATTATTAAAACAAAATGTTTCTGTAACTAGACGTTTAATTTAACTGGAACATAATGTCTGAAAGTTGAATCTCCTTAATCTTAGTGTTTTTATTTTTTCCTGTTGTAATTATTTTGTGCTTACCTGTCTTATATCAGTTGTCAGGCTCAAGGCAGAGCTAGAAAAAAGTTGCTAAGGTTCTTTTTTGTTCTTGTTTTTGTCTCTATGCTGAGGCTTTCTAAGTTGAAAACTTTCTGTGTATTAACATAACTATTTCGCCAGTGCAAGTACTAACTCATTCTTTAATATGGTGAATTCTCCAATTTCATCCTATGGCATCTGGTGTTATGTCCTCTGAGAACTAACACCAATCCTCAGATAGGAGCAAATATGACTCCTAGAATATGCATATGTCGGGGATACAAGATCCCCACCCCGAAGTTATACCATCTCTTTTAATACCTTAGAACAAGGTGAGATTTTAGGTTTGGTTTATGTTTGTTGTTTAATTGTGCAGCTATTAATGCCAGCGTTTTGTGGTCTGATTGTCATCTATGTCCACTGTTTCCTTAAAGCGTGTATTGACGTAGTTGACGTGGTTGCTGATTAATTTTTTTTAAGCTTTTTTTAAATTTTATTTTTATTGCAGTGACATTGGATTATAGCATTATATAACTTTCAGGTGTGTATTGTAATATATTTCGAATTCTGTGTAGATTACATCCTGTTCACCACCCAAAGACTAATTATAATCCATCACCACACACATGTGCCTAATCACCCCTTTTGGCCTCCTCCCTCCCACCTTCCCCTCTGGTAACCACCAATCCAAGCTCTGTTGCTGTGTGTGTGTTTGTTGTTGTTTGTATCTTCTACTTCTGAGTGAGATCATACGGTATTTGACTTTCTCACTCTGACTTATTTTACTTAGCATAATACCCTGAAGGTCCATGCGTGTTGTCACAAATGGCTGGATTTCATAATTTCTTATGGCTGAGTAGTAGTCCATTGTGTATATAAACCACATCTTCTTTATCCATTTGTCCCTTAATGGGCACCTGGGTTGCTTCCAAGTCTTGACTATTGTGAATAATGTTGTGATGAGCATAGAGGTGCATGTATCTTTATGCATTTGTATTTTCAAGTTCTTTGGATAAATACCCAGCAGAAGAATAGTTGGATCATGTGGTAGATCTGTTCTGAATTTTCTGAGGATACTCCATACTGCTTTCTGTAGTGGCTGCACCAGTTCGTGCTCCCACCAGCAGTGTGTGAGCGTTCCCTTCTCTCCACGCCCTCTCCAATACTTGTTTCCTGTCTTGTTAATTATAGCCGTTGTGACCGGAGTGAGGTGATACCTCATTGTAGTTTTGATTTGCATTTCCCTGATGGTTAATGATGTTGAACATCTTTTCATGTGCCTGTTGAGCATCTGTATATCTTCTTTGGAGAAATCTCTGTTCAGATCTTTTGCCCATTTTTAATTGGGTTGTTGGTTTTTTTGTTGTTGAGACATATGAGTACTTTGTATACTTTGAATATTAACCCTTTATCTGATAGATGGTTTGCAAATATCTTCTCCCAGTTGTTAGGTTGTCTTTTCATTTTGTTGGTGGCTTCCTTTGCTGTGCAGAAGCTTTTTAGGTTGAGGTAGTCCCATCTGTTTATTTTTTCTGTTGTTTCCCTTGCCTGGTCAGGTGTGATATTTGAAAAAATGCTGCTAAGACCAATGTCGAAGAGTGTACAGCTGTGTTTTCTTCAAGAAGTTTCATGGTTTCAGATGTTACTTTCGAGTCTTTAATCCATCTTTAGTTGATTTTTGTGCATGTTGTAAGATAATGGTCTACTTTCATTCTTTTGCATGTGGCTGTCCAGTTTTCCCAGTACCATTTATCGAAGAGACTCTCCTTTCTCTGTTGTATGTTCTGGGCTCCCTTGTTGAATATTAGTTGTCCATGTATGTGTGGGTTTATTTCTGGGTTCTTGATTCTGTTCCATTGATCTGTGTGTCTGTTTTTGTGCCAGTACCATGCTGTTTTGATTACTATAGCTTTGTAGTATATTTTGAAATCAGGGAGTGTGATACCTCAAGCTTTGTTCTTTTTCCTCAGGATTCCTTTGGCTATTCAGGATCTTTTGTTCCTCCGTATAAATTTTAGGATTCTTTGTTCTATTTCTGTGGAAATGTTGGAACTTTGATAGGGATTGCATTGAAACTATAGATTGCTTTAGGAAATATGGACATTTTAACTATGTTAATTCTTCTAATCTAAGAGCACGGAATAACTTTCCATTTCTTCATGCCTTCTTCAGTTTCGTTCAACGTTTGATAGTTTTTGGTGCACAGATCTTTCACCTCTTTGGTTAAGTTTATTCCTAGGTATTTTATTCTTTTTGTTGCAATTGTAAAGGGGATTATATTCTTAATTTCTGTTTCTGCTATTTCATTGTTAGCATATAGAAATGCAGCTGATTTTTGTATGTTGATTTTGTATTCTGTGACTTGACTGTATTCATTTATTATTTTAAAAGTTTTTTAGTGGATTCTTTAGGGTTTTCTATTTATAAAATCATGTCATGTGCAAATAGTGACAGTTTCACTTCTTCCTTTCCAATTTGGATCCCTTTTATTTCTTTTTCTTGCCTGATTGCTCTGGCTAGGACTTCCAATACTATGTTAAATAAGAGTGGTGACAGTGGGCATCCTTGTCTGCTTCCTGTTCGTAAAAGGATGATTAATTCTTAAATAGTGGAGAAAAACTTGGTGTGGTAGGAGTAGGAGTCAATTGAATAGCAGAGATGGCAGCCTTCCCTGTGCCAGGTTGTACAGGGGTCTGTGTAGGGTTTGGGGAGAGCTGTGAGGAATCCCCTGTGACACTTCAGTAGCTCTGAGTTGTGTAGAGAATTCATAGCCAGTAGTCATGTGTAACTTGCTGGCTCAGTGCCTGTGAGTTTTTGTGGGAAATCAGATCATCAGATTTCTGCCAAAAGAAAGGAAAAAGAGAAAGGAGTCTAACACAGGCTTTCTCCCTCTGTGTTTACAGCATTTATTCCTGGGAGGGGAAAACTGTATACATTTTGCTTTTAACTCACGAAGTTTCACTTAGACATAATTTAAAATATTTAATGATAGGGGGCCAGCCTGGTGGTGTAGTGGTTCACATGCTCTGCTTTGGTGGTTTAGGATTCACCGGTTTGGATCCTGGGCGCAGACCTATACAGCACTCATCAAGCCATGCTGTGGCTGCATCCCACATGGAAGAAATAGAAGGACTTACAACTAGGATATACAGCTATGTACTGGGACTTTGGGGAGAAAAAAAAAATTAATGGTAACAATTGATAGAGTTTTTGTATATAGATAGATTTGATCATTTATTCTGGTCTGAGCTAAAATGTCTTTTTTTATTACCAGTTAAATTTTAAGGGACACTGTTTTCTATGATGACAATGATGTTTTTTAAAATAAAATGTGTCTATGGCCATACCACCTTGAATGCGCCCGATCTCGTCTAAAATAAAATGTGTGAAAGTAGTTTACCTTAAGTGAGAATCAAATTGGCTATTCTTGAATGAGCTGTTTGGTCAAGTTCTAAGTATGTATTAAATGAATTTGTTGAATGTATGCATTCATCACATATCTATTGACACAAAGTGGCAGCCACTTTTTTAGGAGCTGTGGTATATACTGGTAAACAAAACAGAGCCCTTGCCTATAGAAATATTACATTCTAATGAGACATTTCAGTGAGAGACACCAGGAAGCATAAAGACACTGCGGCCTGAACAAGCTTGTGTTTGGAGAATAGAGTGAGTGAGCAAGGGAGAGAGTGGAAGGCAGTGAGATGAGAGAGCTAGACAGAGGCTAGATCATTTAGGGTCTAACAGATGGGGAAAGGAATTTGGATTTTCCTCTTAAGTGGGAAGTCGTTGTAGGATTTTGAAGAGGAAAGTTATGTGATCTGTATTATATATAAAATACATATATATTTTTCAAATCACTCTGGTGTGGAGAAGCAGCAGAACGGAGGTAAGAATGGAAACAGGGACACCAGATGTTGCAGTAATCCAGGTGAGAGAGGATGATGGCTTGCACCAAGGCACAAGAAGTGGTGGTGGTGAGACAAGGTCAGGTTGAGAATAATTTCTGGAGGTAGATCTGATAGCACTCACTGAGAGATGTGTGAGAGAAATCGTGGGTGATTGATTCCTAGGATATTGGCTTAAACATTAGCTTAGTGAATGGTAGATTACCTGTTTGCTGAGATGTATGATGATTGTTGCTAAATTAATTCTAAACTTTTACCTATTAAATGAGAAATGATTGTATCAACATTATCTTAAATATGTGAAATTAAAACAAAATCATCACAAAAGCTTTTTTATTTTCCTAGGCGGAGTATGTCCAGCTTGTTACTGAACTTCGAATGACAAGAGCCATCCAGCCTCAGATCAATGCTTTTTTACAGGGCTTTCATATGTTCATTCCGCCGTCCCTCATACAACTCTTCGATGAATACGAGTTGGTAAGGAAAAACATCAGTTCTTCTGTTGTTACACAGGACACAAAACTCCAGTTGATGTAATTCAGAGATAATTTTGAAGTACTATGATGAATGGAATAATGTATAATAAGGCCTATGGTTTGATTTTGTGTTTAGAGATTTGTTATAAGGTTTGTGATTGTGCTTCTCTTAAACTTAATAACCAGATTAGCAGTTCCTTAATGTGAAATGGAGTGAGGTAGTGATAAACAAAAATGCAAAGTATTTCCAAAGTATTCTGCATGGGAGATGTTGAAGGCCAGTCCTCCCAAAAGCAGTCTTCACCTGATTCCTGAGTGTCTTCTTTGGCCATATGAGGTCAAGGATACTGATACTAACTGCTTATGCTTCCAAAAAGAAGAATTGATTAAGACGGTTTTTCTTGTAGTATTTGTGTTATCTTCTCCAGCTTCTTATTTTATCATATATATAATTTTATAATTTTCTATTTTAAACCAACGTGGAGTCCACTCTTGGCTAGTCTGTAATGAATGTTTTGTTTTGCTCCTTTAATTTACCTACCTTTAACTATGATCTAATGGGATTTCTAATTTTGTACGATTTATGTCTGCATTTTCCTGTTTCCTTTTTCTCTTCTATTTTTAGTAATAAATTATTTTCAAACTCTTTGAGTTGTCTAAATCCTTAGTAAAACACAATATTTTAAATAGAGTGTAGCTGCTTTCTTATTTAAAAAATCATAATTTGGAATAGTAAATTTTAGATCAATGGAAAAGTATCCCTTGATTTTTATTCTTTCTCTTGAAATTAGTTTACGCCTTTCGTTTTAATATATGAGTAAGTACACTAGTGTATACCTTTAATTTTACATATATACCAGTATTTTCAACTTATTATTCATAGTATATCTTAGTATAACAGTGGACAAAATTTGCTAATTAATTTTGAAGTCCATTGTGACTTAGTTTCAGTAAATAGCAGTATTGAGGTTTTTCAGTTGTGTTTTTAAGTTTAAGATTAATGGTTTTGTTTAGCATAAACTCATCTAGTTTTTGGATAACCAAAAAAGTTACTATTTTTAGTATTTAAAAATGGAGGAGTACTTATGACTATTATTAGACGTGACTGAAATCTGACTTTTCCTATACTGCACTTAGATTAAATTAGCCTTGTGAAGTTCATGGGGTTAGCCCCATGGTGTAGTGGTTAAGTTTGGCACACTCCAGTTTGGTGACCTGGGTTTGCAGGTTTGGATCACAGGTGCAGAACTACGCCACTTGTCAAGCCATGCTGTGGTGGTGACCCACATACAAAATAGAGGAAGATTGGCACCGATGTTAGCTCAGGGCTAATCTTCCTCAAGCAAAAAGAGGAAGATTGGCAACAGATCTTAGCTCAGCACCAATCTTCCTCACTAAAAAATAAATAAATAAATAGCCTTGTGAAGTTCAAAAGAGAGAATTACATTATTTTCTGGACCTACATGTAAAAAACACTTAACAACAGAAATAACTTATAAAAACTTTGCCTCATAATTTCCTGATACTGAATTACAATATACATAGAGCAAAATACATACATCTGTAAATGTATAGCTTTATGAATTTTCAAAAACTGAATATACCATAAAACCAGCACCTAGATCAAGAAACAGAAATCCTAGCACCTCAGATGTCCCTCTCATGTCCTTTTCCAGTCACTGTCCAGCCTTATGGGTAACCACTCTCCTGACTTCTAATATCATAGATTAGGTTGCCTGTTTTTGAACTTTATATAAATAGAATAATCACCTAGAATATATCTGACTTCTTTAGCTCAACTTTTTGTTGTGAGAATCATACATATTGTTGCATGCAGTTGTAATTTGTTCATTTTCATTGCTGTATCGTATTTCATTCTGTCAATCTGCTTTTTCTTTTCTTTTCTGCTCTTGATACACATTGGGTGGGTACTTCAGTTTCAGGCTATTTGAAATAGTGCTGCCACAAATGTTGTAGTACATGTTGCTGGGAGAACATTTGTATGCATGCTGTAGATTATATGCCTTGGAGTGGAATTGCTGGCATATAGGGTGTGCATATATTCCATTATAGTAGGTACTAGCAAATAGTTTTCCAAAGAGTGTGTCAGTTTACACTCCTGCTAACAGATACGAGAGTTGTGGGTGTTCCACATCCTCACCGGCATTTGATATTTTTTGTCTTTTTCTTTGTTACCATTCTAGTGGATCAGTAGTGTTATTTCATTGTGATTTTAACTTGCATTTTCCTCATGGCTAGTGAGGTTGAGTGTTTTTATGTGTTTATTGGCCATTTATGTACTCTGTTTTTGAAGGATTTGTTCAAGTAACTTGTTCATTTTTCCACTGTGTTTTCTGGGTTTTGTTTACTGATTTGTAGGATTCTTTATATTCTGTATAGGAATCTTGGTAGATATGTGTGTTGTGAATATCTTCTCTTACTTCAGTGTCTTTTAGTGAATAAAAGTTTTAGTTTAACACAGTTCAGTTCACTTGTTTTTTCTTTTCTTTTTTTAATGAGTGGAGCTTTTTGTGTTCTGTTTAGGAAACTGTTTCTTATTCCAAGGTCGTGAAGATATTTCCCTATGTTTTCCTCTAAAAACTTTATTCCTTTATCTTTCACGTTTAGGTCTGCTACTGGTAAGTTTTCAATTGTGGTTCTTATATTGGAAGTGAGGTCAGGATTCCTAGTCCGTCTTAGCTTCTGGCTTTACAACGTTGAGCTGATTGATTGAGATGGTGGCATTATTTAGGAAGAGCAGTGTTGTAGACGTGGCTCTGATTTATGCAGTGATGATGATGATGATGATGATTAAACACTTAGTATTTGCCAGGCGCTTTATGTGTATTAACTTTGAAAATCTTCACAACAGAACTCTGAGGTAAGCGGTACCATTCCCATTTCACAAATGAGGAGAACTAGAACAAAGAAGGTACAGAACTTGCTCCTGTTCATCGAGTGTGTGTTAGACACAGCCCAGTCTCTCTTCCTCAGCATTGCCACACCACCTCTCAGTGGCATGAGTTATAAATGGGACTTGGTTTTAGAACCTGTCGTGGGACGTTATGTCCTTCGTAGGAAAGGGCTGTGCTACACTGGGATAGGAAACTTTTTTCAGAAGTTGACACAAACATCTAAATGTGCATCTGAGTTAAAGGCTACACGTTAGATTCTAGAGGTTTAGTGAGAAGAGGGTATCTAGTAGCGTCATTGTCCTAACCGGAGGTGTATTTGTCCATTGTGGACAGAATGCAGTTCCAAGTCAAGAGATGATTATCAGGTTCAAAAAGGGTGACAACATTGTTGTCATTAATACATATACAATGCTATTACAGTGGAGAGGTTCTTACCCAGTGTCAGAGGGACTGTCCTTCCATATTGCGCTGCTTATGAATTTATCCGTGATGGTACCAGAATATTAAAACTTTGAGCCATGTGAATACTAGGTGAGCTGATGGCTCTGAACACTTGCATGATTCAGTTTCTGACGTTAGAATGGGTTATATGTTATACCCAGTTCCAGTAGGTTAATTCAGTTTTGTCATATGTTAAAAAAATAAGAAATTATTGATTGGGACTTTGTGTTATATGTACTTTTCATTGTGGAATTCCCATTTCATCTACTTGTTTTCAGTCAGTTTAATAACGTTTTTTGCCCAGGTGTTCAACAGTTTAATAAAGATCGTTCATCCTCTTCACTAGAAGTCATAACAAATAATATGACATTTTATGAAATACCTCAAATTTCTTGAGAGAATAAAGTCACAGTCATTTTTATTCATAATTATTAACAATGCAAGCATACTCAGTATTATTAAAAGCTTATCTTCAGCCTAGAAGGGAAGAGGGTTAAACTCATGGATTGTAAGAAAAGTATAAAATTCATCCCCACCCCTTTTGGCAGATGTGTATCAGGGTCCTGCTAGGGAACAGAATTTCTCCTGCTAGTTCGAATAATGAAACTTGAACCAAGGGCCTATTACAGAGGTGTGGGCAGTGTTAAGAATAAACAGGATGTGATGAGGCATCCAGAGACTAGCTCCGGTGGAAAGCCTTTGTCACTCCTGGAATTGAAGAGGCAGGTGGAGGAGTTATTGTGGAGACATGGCTACTGCAAAGATGGGCTGAAGCAGGAGGGAGCAGAAAATACCCTCACCTCCAGACTCCTGCCTGTTTCTCAGTGACGGAACCCAACCTGAAGCCGACGGGCAAGAGAGCCAGTCTGTACGGAGTGGCCTCCTGGGGCACAGGGCAGTGCGAAAAAAGGTGGAGAGGGTGTTCGGGGGTGATAAATGGACATTAACCAGAACGTCTTCATCCAGGAAAAGTATCTTATAATACTATGGCAAGGAGGGCTAAAACGTACCCTAGACTAGAAGCTCTCAAACTTTGTGGTCTTAGGATCCCCTTTCAACAAGAGTTTTTGTTTATGTGGGTTATAATAATTGATAGTTACTGTATTTGAAGTTAAAACAGATGTGTAAAATATTTTATTCTTATAAAAATAACAATCCATTACATATTAATGTAAATAACATTTTAAAGATGAAAACTTCATTTTCCAGAATAAAACAAAAATAGTGGGAAGAGTGGCATTGTTTTACATTTCTGCACGTTTCTTTGATGTCTGACTTAATAGAAAACAACTGGGTTCTCACGTCAGCTTCTGCATATAATCTATTGTGACATGTTGTTTGGCTGAACTATATGGAGAAAATCCAGCCTCAGATAAGTTGGAAAAGGGAGAACCTTGCAGACTCCTTGAGTAGATATTAGAAACCCCCAAGACTTCTCAGACATCACCTTATGTTAACCATCGTTAACCTTCTTTAGAGCACAATCGGTACCAGTCAGATGTATGTTATGAGTAGTTGCTGCAGGAGTTGTGGTTTTTGAGCCACATTGTATCTATGTCTCGGTAATAGCAAACCCTGCCTTCTGGCCTGTCAGGGTTAAGAGTAGGCTAGTCAGTGCCTTACCTGAGTATGTAAACACATCCGACTGTGAGATATGGACTGATTCAGAGATGTGGACAAGCTCTTTTCATGTTCTCTTTTATTTTGGAAGACATAATGGGAAATTTTACCATTCTTAATTTCATTTTTAGTTATTTGGTTAATACTTTGTTTGTTTGATGTTCTTCCTGGCAAAAAGGTGGCTACCAAAAGTAATTAGGAAAATTGCATTTTTTTCTCATCTTGGGGAAACTTGACTTTAAAGGATATGAATTATTCCAGAATAGAGGCCTGAATCTGTTTTTTAAAAAAATAATAGCTATTTTTATTGTATTACCTCCTTTTTCCTAGTGATAGGGTTTCTTGATGATCTTTTTCTTTGCTCAACTCAGGCTTTATTCAGGTCTTTTTTGTCACTTTCATGTTGAAAGTCGGTCTCTATAGGATTTAACAAATTTGTAAAATAATGAATAAACATAAACCAAAGATAATGTTCATAAAGTTGTTGGTGCATCTGAACTGTTGTTGCATATGTGTTTATATATAAACGTAAACTATTGTCTCTTCTTATGTTTTAATTAAATTATATCAACGTGGACACATCTCCACATCTCACACTGTTGGAGCTTATCAGTGTCAAGTGTTCTTTCCCATGTCATGCTTGTTATTGATGACATGCAGAAACTGTGGCAAAAATAAATCAGTTTTATATGGGATTAGTTTCTAATTAAGGCAAATTTACTATTTAAATGTAATAGCTTCTTTTCCCCTGAAGAAGATTAATGAAATACTTTTCTTCTTCCCCAAAGGAGCTGCTGCTTTCTGGCATGCCAGAAATTGACGTGAGTGATTGGATGAAAAATACAGAATACACCAGTGGCTATGAAAGAGAAGATCCGGTTATTCAGGTACAATCTCTCTAGAGCTTAGAACGAAGTTAAGTTTTGCCATTTAATTTTGTAAGCTTTTCAGCACTGTTGGATGGAAACCTACATTAATTAACAGAGTCAAGTTTTTCTCTGAATTCTTCTCTTGGGAATATTGCCTATGAAAACTTTTTATAAAGTCATTTTTGATAAATGAGTCTCATAGAATAGAATATGCTTTATGAATGTTGCATATTTCGGTGGTGTTAGGCAGTCTGCACTTGCCGTGAAACACGAGCTGAGTTTGTTGTTGTTGTTGTTAGTGGTTCTGGGAAGTGGTGGAAGACATTACTCCAGAGGAGCGAGTTCTTCTCCTGCAGTTTGTTACTGGCAGGTAAGAAGTTTTTTACAATAATATGGAAAGAATTTAATGTATTCCTTTTCTAATGGCTTAGAGATAAACAACCAAGTGAATTATTACTCTGAATTGTGAGTTTCTTCCTCCCTTTCCACTTTTTAAGGTATTAAACAGAGATTTATTCAGGCATTAAAGATAAAACACATACAGTATGCTCAGTTATGTTTGTTTAATGTTAAAAAATAAATGTTGTTTGCTAAAAAACAGATTGTTCCAGTCATAACTATTAGCATAGGTATTGTATTTTATAATTTGCTAATCCTTTTATTCAGTTTTTCTCCAGTTGTTATCAAACTTTTAAAGTCTCGAGATTCATGGCCTAAAAAATAATTTGTGATACCATACTTCTTTGAAAAGTCCAGTTTTGGAACCAATTAAATATTGTAGATATTAGAAAACTAGATGATTTAAACCTCTTAATTTATATATCTGAAAGATGTAAAGAAAGAGTTTGATCTTCATTCTCTTTTGGTTTTTTATGCGACTGAGGAAGATTGTCCGTGAGCTAACATCTCTGCCAATCTTCCTCTATTTTGTATGTGGGACGTTGCCACAGCATGGCTTGATGAGCAGTGTGTAGATGCATGCCTGGGATCCAAACCCACAAACCCCAGGCCACCAAAGTGGAGTGCGCAAGCTTAATCACTACACCACTGGGCCGGCCCCCTAATCTTCATTCTTGATAACTTAGAATTTCATCTGCATCCTTCTCTTTATGAAAATATAGTTCAGTTTTTCTGTTATAAATGTGCATAGTTCTAGGAAAGTTAGGATACTCAGAAAATTAGAAGAAATAAGGAAAACCACTGTCTACCAGCAATAACCACTATTAACAATTTGATGCAATTATTTTTCTTAATTTTTCTTGCCTATTTTATTTTTTTACTTAAAAAAAATTTTTTTTTTTTTGAGGAAGATTAGCCCTGAGCTAACTACTGCCAATCCTTCTCTTTTTGCTGAGGAAGACTGGCCCTGAGCTAACATCCATACACATCTTCCTGTACTTTATACGTGGGATGCCTACCACAGCATGGCTTTTGCCAGGCAGTGCCATGTCTGCACCCGGCATCCAAACCAGCAAACCCCAGGCCGCCAAGAAGTGGAACGTGCGAACTTAACCTCTATGACACTGGGCTGGCCCCTTTCTTGCCTATTTTAAAAACATAATTGTGAGTGTATATCTGTATGAAATATATATGTGTAATTTCAAGTCAACTGTTTTCTTATTTTAAAAGTAGTTCATGACCATTATAGAAAATTTGGAAAATGGAAGATATAGATAGAAGAGAAGAAAGTGAAAATCCTTTTGACTAATTCCATTATCAGAAATAAGACTATTAACATTTTGCTTTATTCTTTTAATCTTTTAACTATATAACTAGAAAAATAGTTGGAGTCACACTATACATCTAATTTTAAAGCATAAATAAAGCATGGATATACACAGATTGTAGACTAAAGATATGAAAGAAAACCTTGTTGTTGGTTTTGTTTTGTTTTTTTAGGCTTCATAGTGCCAAGAAATACCAAGAGATTTGAGTAATTTAATAAAGAGAATTAAACAAAAATTATAATTTCTATGTAAGAAAGTTAGACAATTCAAATTAAAAAAGAGAAATCACCTCTGAGCTCAGTCTCTGAAGATAATTGCTGTTAACATTTTGGTTATTCTTCCAGAATTTTTCCCACATATATAAATTTTTACTTTTTAAAAACCTTGTTTCTGTTCTATAACTTGAATTTATCAATATATCATTAAAAATTGTTCCATTTGTAGATCTGATAGTTTTAATGGCTGCTTGCTCTTCAATTTATGGACCTCCGTTAATTCATATTGTCCTTTATTGTTAAATTTTCCTGTTTATGAGTAGTGTTGAACAAATAAGGAATTCTTGTGCTTATATACCTGTGGGCCACTTTGATTATTTATGTAGGATAAATTCTTAGAAGGGAAGTTTTTGGATACAGAAGTATATAAATTTCTGCACCTGTGATACGTGCTGTTCATTTACCCTCCAGAAGGTTCTCAGTATTCACATCAGCAGGGAATGAGAAGGCCTTTCCCTTATTCAGTCAATACAGGATGTAATCATTTTTATTTTCATATAATTTCTTATTTATGTAATTATTTTGTGTCATGTGAATTGCCTGTCTTTATTTTTTGTGCATTATCCTGTCATTAAAAAAATTCAATTTTTAAGTGTTCTTTATGTATTAGGGACATCAACTTTATAAATATTTGTCCAGTCTGTTTGCCTTTTAACTTTATTAAGTTAAATATACAAGTTTCATGTAATTTAAGTTATAAATTTAGTTTATAAAATGGGGGCCAGCCCAGTGGCACAGGAGTTAAGTTTGTGTGCTGTGCTTTGGCGCCTGGGGGTTCACTGGGTCGGATCCTGGGTGCAGACCTACGTACCACTTATCAAGCCATGCTGTGGTAGGTGTCCCCCGTATAAAGTAGAGGAAGATGGGCATGGGTATTAGCTCAGGGCCAGTCTTCCTCAGCAAAAAGAGGAGGATTGGTGGCAGATGTTAGCTCAGGGCTAATCTTCCTCAAAAAAAAAAAAATTATAAAATGAAAGTTTTAAGTTACGTTGCAAGTCAGTTATTAATACTTTTCTTTATGGTTTTTATAAATCCTTCCCTGCTGCCAAGATTTTATATATATATGTTTGTCAACATTTTTTTCTGTAACTTTTTTATGATTTCTGTTTTTACATTCCAATTTTTAAGCCATTTGGACTTTATTTTGGCTTATGTTGTGAGGTAGCGCTCTTTTATTATTTTTCTAAATGGTTTATATCTAAACACCATTTCATGAATTAGATTTTCCCCCGTGATTTGGTCAGTGTGAGTTTTAAATGCAGAAAACAATCATTCAAGTTTTTTGGTACTAAAAATGTCTATTAAATTACTTGCTCTTGCAGAATAAAAAAATACTTGAATTAGCAATGCAGAGTGCCCCTCCTGTGTCAGTAGTATAGTCTTTGTTAGCAGTGCTGAAAAGAGCTGCACTGTTTATTGTTTAACTGGTCATGAAGTGTAGCACGTGAATCCATTTAAACTGAGGTGAAGGATGTGGGTGAAGATTCGACGCCAAGGGGAGACAGCACACAGCTAAGTTTCACCTTCAGCTTGAAGGAGCCACCTGTCAACACTTAGTCTATGTAGAGTCCTTGTTATGAATTCAAACTAAGTCATACGTTCTCTAAAACCTTAACTTTCCTTTTTATTAGACCCGTAGTCGTTAGTATAGGTATTGCATTTGCCATTCTAAACCTAAAGTGTGTATTTTTTTCCTTTTAACACTTTTTGGAAAATTCTGATTATCTATTTGTTTATATTTGCATACTAAACATGTCTTAATCCATGTCCAGAGTATAATTTAGTGCAACCTTACTGAAAATTCAAGTGTGTTCCAAGTGTAGAACCAAGAATCAGTACAGAAAGTAACTTTTATAGTAATGACAATATTTTGTTGGTCTATAAGACTGTCTTAAATGTCTTACTCTTTGGTTTCATTACCCTTTAGGAGTAATGAAAATCAGACTTGATGATTTCTTTGTGTATAAAATAGAATCATATCATTTTTATTAACGGTAATTTTACATTGTATAATCCAGCTGTCATGATATTCAACCAAAGACTATTTCATTTATTTTTCTCACGTATGCTTAAGCTTGATGAGCCGTGATCTTAGCATAAGATCCACTGATTATTCAAGTATGGGGCCCGGTCATATTTGGCTGTAGTTTAGAAGAGAATTGAGGTTTCAAGGATGGTTTGTGAATATCACCTTACAGAATAATTTCAATTTAGATGTTAAAAATTGGGAGATCTTGGGGGCCGGCCTGGTGGCGCCGTGGTTAAGTGTGCACGTTCCGCTTCAGTGGCCTGGGGTTCACTGGTTTGAATCCCGGGTGTGGACATGGCACCGCTTGGCAGGCCATGCTGTGGTAGGTGTCCCACATATTAAAAAAAGTAGAGGAAGATGGGCATGGATGTTAGCTCAGGGCCAGTCTTTCTCAGCAAAAAGAGGAGGATTGGCACCAGTTAGCTCAGGGCTAATCTTCCTCAAAAAAAAAAAAAAAAGGAGATCTTCTGATTTTTTAAGCTTATGTTTCAAAATTTAGTTATATGAAAGACATTAGATTGATCATCCTGCTGTTGAAATATTGTGCTATAATTTGTGTAAGAATCAGTGTCAAGGCTTATTTTCTCATCTTGTCCTGATAAAGTAGTATATTTATTTCAAAATTCTGTCTCTATGGGAAATTGAGAACAACTTGGCCTTTTATCCTTTTTCATTTTTGTTGCTGTTGTTAATTTTTTAGGCATAGATTAATCTACATAGGTTAGCTAATGCTGAATTTTATTTTCAGGTTACAGACATATCCAGGTCTTCTTTAGATAGTCTCTTGCCCTAAGTGGGAATTGTTCAGGCATTAGTGTTTTATTAGCAAGATTCAAGCATACTTTTAATATTCACTTGGATTTCTAAGGTAAACTCAGGCATTTCATCAATAAAGCATTTAACAGTAACTAAACTGCTTTCCCGCTAGAAAAGAAAACTGCTCTTTTTAGGGATTCATCTATATTGAATTGTTAATTATTTTTCCCTGTGAATGTATATGTATCATCAGTGATTTCAAATAGAAAATTCTGGTCCATTTTTTTCATGTTCTTTTTTTAGTGTATGTGGTAAAAAATACATAACTTAAAATTTAACATTTTAACTACGCAGTTCTGTGACATTAAGTACATTGACTTTGTTGTGCCACTGTCACCACCATTTCTCTCCCCAACTTTCTCCTCCTGAGCTGAAACTGTACCCAGTAAACGCTGACTCCCCATTTGTTCTCCTCCCAGCTCTTGGCAACCACCATTCTATTTTCTGTCTCTCTGAATTTAACTATTCTGAGTACCTCATATAAGTGGAACTACGCATAATTTGTCTTTTTGTGACTGCCTTATTTCATTTAACATAACGTCCTCAAGGTATGTCCATATTGTAGCACATATCAGAATTTACTTCCTGTTTTAGGAATTTTATAGTTTTAGCTCTTACATTTAGGTCTTTGATTTATTTTGAGTTAATTTTTATATATTGTGTTAGGTAAGAGTCCAACTTAATTTTTTTGTAGTGGATATCCAGTTTTCCTAAGACAATTTGTTGAAAAGATGGTCCTTTCCTGTTGAATGTTTTTAGCAGTCCTGTTGAAAATCGTTTGGCCGTATATGTGAGGGTTTATTTTTGGGTTCTCTGTTCTATTTCACTGGTCTATATGTCTGTCCTTATGTCAGTGCCACACTGTTTTGTTGCTGTAGCTTTGTAGCTTAAATTTTGAAATCAGGAACTATGAGACCTCTGTCTTTGTTCTTCATTTTCAAGATTGTTTTGGATATTCGGGGTTCAACAGTTTTTTTAATGAACTGAATTATGCTTAGTACTGTGAATCATATGTTAGAAAACATTTTTAATACTAGTCAGATTTCTGCCTTTGAGTATGCATATAATACCTATACATTAAATGTTTCTTTGTCATTCTAATTTATCTAAGTCATTCTAATTTAGTGTAAAAAGCACTACAGATCTCATTTTAAAAACAGCGAAGTTTTGGGGCCGGCTCCGTGGCTGAGTGGTTAAGTTTGCGCGCTCCGCTGCGGCGGCCCAAGGTTCAGATCCTGGGCGCGGACATGGCACCGCTTGTCAGGCCACGTTGAGGCGGCGTCCCACATCCCACAACTAGAAGGACCTGCAACTAAGATATACAACTATGTAACCGGGGAGAGGGGTTTGGGAAATAAAGCAGAAAGAAAAAAAAGGAAGATTGGCAACCGTTGTTAGCCCAGGTGCCAATCTTTAAAAAAAAAAAAAAAAAAAGCGAAGGTTTTTCAATCAGTATGTTTAATCATGATACATACAAAGGCTAATTTGAAGTAATAATTTTCTTTCAAAGGAAACAGTAGAATTTAGGAAGTTGTAATTACATCATCTACAGCCGTGTACCCAAGATTAAATTTTCTAGTAGTGTTTATGCATTAAGTGTTAGCCTTCCTGTGAACTCGTAATGTTAGGTGACATTAAAAAAAAAATAGATCTGATATTCTGAATCCCTGGAAAGAGAAATGTGAAGAATTTTCTAGTTTTCCCACTGTGAAAAGTAAAAAACAAAAACCCTTTGGATGACCCTAGATATTTTTCACAAACAGGGAAATCATTTGGATTATGTGTGAGAGCTTCTGTTGCTTGAGTTAATCAGGCAAACATTCATTTACTCAGCAAATATTTAATGAATGTCTCCTAGATGCCATTTTGCTAATAACCCCAAGGATACAAATACAAATATGACATATTTGGGCCCTCAGATCATTTCCAGTTTAGTAGGGGGATACAAGAAAGAAAATAGATGTACATGCAGTATGCTAAATTCAATAGTAGGGGTCTGTGCTGTGGCCAATTCAAAGCGTGGTGTGGCTTATAGAGACACGCGGGGCGGGGGGCAGGGGGGAGTGTCTCCATGGAAGCCTCCTGACTGGCCAGAAAACAGCTTTTAGTAATGAGTTGGAGATTTGCGGATTCAAAAACGTTATCTTGTCAGTGTCCTAGAGTTGAATATATTCTTAACCTAATGTAGAATTTGAAATACAATTATCACCAAGATTTTCCTGTAATAATTATAACTTATTAAGATATGAACTCTTAGCTCCAGGGTCCCACACGGTGGATTTGCTAATATCATGGGTGGAAGTGGATTGCAAAACTTCACAATTGCTGCTGTGCCATATACTCCAAATCTCCTACCAACCTCAAGCACATGGTATGTGAAATTGGCTCATTTGCATGCATCGTGAATTGTTTTAATTAATGTTGAATGATCATAGGTCTAACTAATGTACTGCTGCATTGAGAGGAAAACCTCAACAGTGTGATCTCTATTCAGCATTTTGGAGTCACTGATAAATAAGTAGCTGCATAGTTCCTTACCGCTGCCTTTTTTGGTGGGGAAAATGTTTGGGGAAACTACCTATAATTTAATTGAATATAGTTCAAGTATCACTAAAGTTACGGTGTCATAAGTATCACTGAGTTATACCATCACTTCAAACTCAAATTGCTCTAATGCTTATTTATTTTAGGCTGAAAGGAACTTATTTTCTTCCACTACATTTGCATGCTAAAGGAAACTGCAATGCAGCAGTTTTTTTCTTTTTAAATACTACTTTAGGGTTTTCCAATTTGAATGCAAATTTGAGAGGGTGGTTTCATGTTAATTCTGAGTGGTGTTTCACTGCTAGACAAACAGTCAGAAATTTCATAGGTGTCCTATTTAATTGTGGTATATTTTTCTTTGAAAGCATCAACATGCTCAAGTTACCTGAATACCCAAGTAAAGAAATACTCAAAGACAGACTTCTTGTGGCACTACATTGTGGCAGCTATGGTTACACAATGGCGTAATGAAGTCTGGAAAACTCATCTGACTACTGATGCGCAATTCAGAGTGGCAGAAGTAATCTAGGAAACTGTCAGCAGAAAAGCAGCCCGAATGCAGCCCATAGGCAGGGCTGATGTTTAAAATTCAGAAAGGATCAGGTTTTCTTTTTCCCCTCCTCTCTTTTTCCTTTTATGTTTGCTCAGTTTGTAATACAATTAGAAATATAAAATCACAATAGTCTTTATTTTAAAAAATGCTAATTGAAAGTAGTAGAAATTGTTCTTTTTTCATATTTCTTTAATCTTATCCAAGATTGTGTTAAACCACAATCTTAATGTACATTCCACCTCTGCTATGTAACTGTCTTGTTAAAAGGGTGTTTTCTCTTTATTTTCCTATATATTAAATTATATTAGGACATCCAGCTGGTATGTTCTATTGCATGTAAAGTGCTGTTTATATTTTGGAAAACTATTGTATAGAATGGATTAATTTCGATTGTGTATAAAGCCACAAATATGTATTTTCCCATATTGAATCTATATTGCAATGATGTTTTTTAGCTTTTTAATATTTTAATATATAACAAAGTTTAGACTGATGTGACTAACACCTATGAAATGACATCTAATTTGTATAGTAAAGCTTATACTATATTGTATGAATTCTTTGCGTCTTTCAGTGGTCAATTTTCCACATATATTGTAGTCTCAAAGTTTTTCTTCTGCCTTATTTAATTTATATTTTAGGTAAAATTAAAATGTGATATTTTACCGTATTTCTTTTCATTACTTTTGTGTGAGCTCTGATGACACATTTGAAGAAGTAATCCGATGTGCAGATTACAATTTAAATCTGTACACTTTTATTTCTTAAATTTGCTTTTTGTAATTAAAATGTTGAGTTCAAGTGATATATGCCTAATACACAGCACTGAGTTTTTTAATTTTAGGGTGGTCTAGTCAGTTTTCTTTTGAAAAGAGACACTTGAGTAGTTACAGCATACCTTTTAAGGAGAAGTCAGAACACTCACATATTCAGAAATACTGACAGAGGAATTTGTAATGTTTGGAACCTTGCCTCTAGGAACTGAAAATAGACTATCCAATGGCATCATTGTTGGTGGAATGGCTTTTATGTACAGATTTTCTCATATGAGGAGCAGTGTATTTATCACTGACAAATAACAGATAATGTATATGTCAGTATAAATACATATATATGTAATACATATATAGAAAGCTTTGCTAAGTTGTAAAACTTCTTTCGTACGTGTTTTTTGGTCCTCTTTTGTTATTGTGTGGGTTTTTTTTGATATTAATAAAATATCTCAACAGATTACATTATAAACTAGGAATTTTTTACAAATTACTGTTAGCTCTGAAATTATGATTCAGATGCTTTATTTACAATAAATGAAGCTAATTTTCCAATTTTTATTTTCAAAATTTATTTGTAGAAGAGATCATTGCCTTCTGAGTTTTCAAATAGGTAACTGACTTTAATATTACATTGCTTCTAAATTTAATGTTTACAAGATTTATTTCTGTTTATAATTGTATGGTACATTGGCTTTGTCAGATTGGTCATTTTGCAAGTATTTATGTAGAAGAGATAAGACATTAGAAGTCTCATGGTATTTTATCCATGAATTTGAATATTTTTTGATATAGATCTAGCAGTTTCAGGGTTTATTCTTTTATATTGTCTTAATTTTTTTAACTATAAGAATGTAGTTAGTATAAAGAGATTTTATACAGATTAAAAATACTATTTAAGGGGCCGGCCCCATGGCCGAGTGGTTAAAGTTCCGTGCACTCTGCTTCAGTGGCTTGGGTTTGTGAGTTCGGATCCTGGGCACAGACCTACTCCACTCATCAGCCATGTGTGGAGGCATCCCACATACAAAGTAGAGGAAGACTGGCACAGATGTTTAGCTCAGGGCTAATCTTCCTCACCAAAAACAACAAAAACAGAAATCTATTTAAACTAGAGGAAGAAAGTCTTTTTAATTTATTCTCTTCCCACAATTTCTTTTGTAAGTAGATGGACATGTTGAATGCATGGGAATATAGAAAAATGATTAAAGATTTTCTTCTTTGGGTAAAAGAAGATTGCACTAATAGGAAAGGAACTCAACTCTTAAAACGTGGGAAATCCATATATGAAAGAAAAGAGAGAAACATAGCATTCTAAAGGAATAAAAATATAAGGCAAGGGAACATGTTTTAGAAAACTGATTAATGAAAACATCTGGGCAAGAAGTAGATTAAGTTATTCAAATAATTTGAAGGGATAGTGACCATGTAGTTAATAAAATCCATCTACTTTATCCCAAAGCAAAATGTGATATAGTCTAAGGAAATCCCAGCTTTAAAACAATATGCTGAACACATCCTACTGCCACGAGGATCGTTGTTGGATGTCATGGGGGGAAATGAAAGCTTTAAAGCGTAGGTCACGAGTTGGAGGCCCAAGAGATGATTCCCACTCACGCATGTGTTTTGTTTGTCATGCCAATTCTGAAATTTTGATGAGTTGTCAACATTAAAAAAAGTCTGGAGATTTCATGCAGAAGTCCAGATGTTTAGCTTTTGCGAAATCAGACAATCTAACAACATTGAGCATAGATTCCTAGGAAGGCATTATTAGTAGGCTGGAGTTGAGTGGAAGCCACTTCTTTCAAAGACTGAATGTGCTCCTGGTTTGCCGTTTTCTTACGCCAGCCTGCTTCACTCATTTATGTCACCTTCTGGGCCATTGGCAGCATTGGAGTTTGCTTTAAAGAATCTATGTTGACCAGAAATGTTACCCCGGAGTGTAAACTGGTACCGGTTCTTTGGATGGCAATTTGGCAATATCGGATTTTTAAAATGGACCCATACTCTGACTCATCAATTCTGTGAATTTATCTTATGGATATACTTGTTCGTGTACGTAAATATATTTGTATAGGATTGTTCACTGAAGCTTTGTTTGTTATAGAGAAAAATGGGAAATAATTTAAATGTCTCTCAGTAAGGAGTTACTAATAAATTGTATTACATCCATACAATAGAATAGTAATTAGTATTTACAAAGAATGAAATGGATTTGTGCATACTCGTATGTAAATGTTTCTAAGGTATGTTCAATAAAATAAGGTAATATAGAAGAGTGGTTAAGGTGGAAATACAATATTCCTGGGCTTATATGCAAGACAGATTTCTGGGCTGGAGACAGTTGCTACATCTAGGAAAGTTGTAAGATGGGATGAAGACTTTTTCATTATATAGCTTTTTTTTCCTGTTTGTCTAAATCACATGCCTGTGTTATTTTCTATATCATACATACATTAAAAGAAACATCCAGTATCTTTAATTAGGAGAAGCAAGTATCAGTAGTAGGTTTTATTAGATCTATAAAATGCCATAGCAGTAGCCATAAGCAATATTTTCATAATCACATAACTTATTTTATAATGTGGTTAATTTAAAATGTCTTCTAATTAAACTCTTTTGCAAACAAAATCAAAGAAAGGAATGCTTCTTTGTCTACAAAGCTCTATTTCCACATTGCTAATAACTAGCTCTATTTATAGCTCTCTAAAATTCTACTGATTAAAGAGTTTTATTTGAATTCACACTTTTCTCCTCAATTTTTCTTTTCTTTTTTTTTTTTTTTTGCTGGGGAAGATGCACCCTGAGCTAACAAGCTAACATCTGTTGCTGACCTTCCTCTTTTTTTTTTTCATGTGAACCACTGCCACAGCACGGCCACCAACAGATGAGTAGTATGGTTACACAACCAGGAACTGAACCCAGGCCCTGGAAGAGCATGCTGAACTTTTACCACCAGGCCATTGAGGCCAGCCCAGTTTTCCCTTTTTTTTAATAACAAAAGTGGTACTTTCTTGAAGTGGGGAAATCTGGAAAGCATGGATTCATGTACCAACTTGGAAAAAATAATAAATTATAGTTCTACTACTCAACAAGTTGTATTTGCTTCTAGTCTTTCTCAATGCATTTATTCCGTGGTTGAGTTCATAAAAAACATAGCATTTAGTATCTTTTTTTATTTATTCAGCATTGTATTTTAAACATTTCACATGTCATCACAACTTACTTGTAAACGTTTTTTAAATGGTGGCGTAATATTCTATTGTGTGGGTGTATCATAATTTACTTGACCATGTCTCTAAAGTTTTTAGCCCTTAGATTTCTGATATTTTTGCTTTTGTAAATAACAGGTGATCTTTTTCAACACCAGTTATAGTCGAGGAGTGGTAATGTTTACTGGGCTATTTGTTGAAATGGCTGTCAGTTGCTCCGTGGTTGTGGAATTACTGTTTGAAGGCTCGAGAATGGGCTGTTGGAACACTGAACCCTTTGGTAGGTCAGACCAGATGGGATTGTTCTACCAGCACAACTGGGGCTGTGTGCCCCACCCGAGTGTGAAAGTGTTAAAAAGAGAATCACAAAGGTGTGACCAAGGTACATTCATTTGAGTAATTGCTTGCTTCCGGTCTTCTTCCCAAGAATAGGGAAGGAAACTCATCTTCAAATGAACCAAGCCCCTTCCTCAGGACCCAGAACTTCAGCGTTTCCTAGTATGTTACATAGCTCAGCTACATCAGGAGTCATGCTCTTATGGGTTAAACTAGAAACCTAACCTCCATTGATAAAGTTTCCCAGAAATGGACTTACATGGTGTTGGACTGCAACCCTTTTGTCATTTGGAGAATTTATATATAACAGTTGTCTCTGTGAATGCGTTTTTAGCTGATAATAAAATTTTGGTTATTTTCACCACAATTTCGGTGTATGGCAGTATATCAGATTTTTTTTCATGTGAAACACTCTTCTTTCTTGTGCACTTCCACAGTTGTTAGGCAGCAAAACTCACTTTTAAGGTTAACAATAGTATCAGAAATCCCAATTTTATAGTGTGGTTTAAAGCTGTTTTAATGTGGACAGATTTCCTTAGAATGTCCTTTGTGAAATTCTTAGGTCCTGGGTTATGGTTACCTGCCTATAGGTCCAGTGCAAATTGGCACAAATTTATTTAATTTATAATCAGTCCTCATTATTTTACCAATGAGAAAATTGAAGAACAGAGAGGTGGTAACTTGCTTAAGGGTTTCAGGGCTATTTAACCAAACTAGAATTTAAACCTAGATTTTCTGATTCTTAGTCCACTAGGTTTTCTTTTACTCCATGCTGTCTCTTTATGACATAACTGCATAATAAAAAGACTCTTTTAGAAAAACACCTGCAGCCTATTAACAGTCATGTAAGACAAGCCTGTTGGGAAACTATAACTTAATAAGCTGATAGTTAAGAATGATTAATAGGACTATATTTCTTCTCTCCCACTGTGCCACAATAAGCTAGGGTGGGTATTTTACCATCTCAAGATGAAAAAGAACAGATGTATTGTCAGATCATAGATCATGGGTAGTCATTAACTTTTATTATCTTTATAAAAATGTTCAATTTCAAGCATACTTGGTACTTGGAAATACGTTGTGCATCTAATGTTGCAAAACCATTAAAACCATAAACGGAGACTGTAATGACTACTGCTGTATCCTTGTGTGAGTGAATCGAGTCTAGCTGAGTGAATGGAGGGGAAGTAGTCCTAGGTGGGTGCTGAATATACAGTTAGTGGAGAAAACTCTCCAAGTCAATTCAACAAATTCCCCTTAAATGTCTGCAACTCTGGTTTAGGGTCTGTGACCCAGTCCCTATCCTCAAAGGAAATAAAATTCATTTGGAAGGAATATTTGAGACAAGTTTTAAAACTGTGCAGTGCAGCACATAATTAAATGTAAAGATGAGCTACAGAAGTGTATTAGTGTAGGGGAGGAAGGGTTTAATATACACTGAGTGTCTAAGGCAGCTTCAAATATTTGGCCTCACTGAATTATTAAATTGCCCCCTAGATTTGGAGACAAATAATCAGCCTGTTGTTTGAACACATACCTGAAAAGGTTAAAAATAATAACAGCAAAATAAGGCCAATGCATACTAGTCATTGAGTTGTTCTCAGATCTTTAATTAGTGCATTATTAGCTTGCTTAGTTCTACGTTCTGGTCATTTGAGAATTCTGATCTCCTGGTGGTTTTCATGATTTGGAGACTGTTGTGTTCATGTACCAACCCTATTTGAAGATGGCTCTATATTTTCCTCAGAAGAGTGGCCATATCTGATTCTTTTTGAAAAGCTTATTGTAGGAGTGAGAAGGAATGCTTAAAGTGGCGTCTGCCCAGTATTCTCTTATATAGTATTCCTCTTGTCCTAATATCTAGAAATAGAGAAAAAGCAAAATTGATATTCTCATTCAGATTCCAAAATTCTGTATGCAGTGGCCTACTTGACGTCTTCACTTGTTTGTTTCTTAACGGGTGTTTGTTAAGAATCTCAAACCTTAAATATGTCCAGAGAGGACCTTGTTTCCCCATTGTCCTCCTGCCACCTGCCACTCCATTCCTGTCTCTTCTGTCTCAGCAAATGGGCACCACCATCTGCGTCATTGCTCTGAGCTGAAAACTGAGAAGTCATCCTTTATTTTTCTTCTTCTACATCCAATCCATCACCAACTCTTGTTGAGTTTACCTGTCCAGTATGTCTTAGTCAACTTCAGTTGCCCTGTGCAAGTCACCATCATCAGTTCCTTAGACGACTGTCATCTGACACAAAAGATGGCAGTAGAGGATCACGGTTAGGAGTACAGCCGTGGAGTTAGATTGCCTGGATTTGAATTCTGCCTTTTCCACCATTAGCTGTTGTCAGGAGATCAGCCAGACTGGGAGAGAGAGCTAAGCTGTCAGGTGTTGGAGTGGCCGATTAATGCAACACGCCAGAAATGAAAGAGTCAAGCCTTTACTCACGTACTGTGATGGTGTGAGAGTCTAAAACTGGAGAAGACATTGATTCCCCCCTTGCGTTGTCTGCATGGAATGGTGCACTGATCCAGGATCAGGTGCATCAGCGTAGACGTAGGGGTTGGCTCACTGTTGAGGGAGACCTGAACTAAAGGCTCCAGCAATTTTATGGACCCCACAGTTGTGGGGAGGGTGAAGGAGAAGGGCTGGGAATGGGAAAGTACTGGGAAAAGTCAGTGGGACAAAGTGTTTTCAAGGATTCCTCCTCCTCCCCTCCTAAGGAGGCCTCAGCAGCGGCACCTGAGGAAGACCTCTGCCCAAGGCCTTAGATAAAGAGACCTAGGAATGAAGGCACCAAGGCTAGGAATACAAATATGTGAAGAGCATGACCTGCTGGAATCGTTGACTGCGCTGCCTTCAGAGACTACAGTGCACTGGCTGTGCACCAAACCTGGTATGTTTCAGGGGGAGCAGCCTTCCCCCATGAGGCCTGCCAGGTAAAGTCTTTGTAATTGCCTGTGGTCAGATCTGAAAAGTCACACATAGGTTTTTAACCAGGAGCTAGAATCCTCAGCTGTGTGACCTTGGGCAAGTTACTTAACCTCTCTATACTACAATTTATAAAGGAGATGTAAAATTATGAGAATTACATAATGTGTTAGTTTCCTATTGCTGCTGTAACAAATTACCAAAAACTTAGTGGCTTAAAACCACACACATTTATTATCTTAACAGTACTGCAGATCAGAACATTATTTGAATAAGGGAGAAAAATATGATTACATCATTAAATGTAGAAATAAACACTTGACACAATTCAACCCCTATTAATAAAAACTGTCACAGAATTCAGAATTTAAAAGAATTTCCTTGATTTGATGAAGACAATATTCCAAAACTTCTCCAGCAAATATCATGTTAATGGAGAAACTTTCATTCTTACTAAGATCTGCCCCAAGACAAGAATACTCATGTCACTGTTAATGTTTGACATAGGACTGAAGATTTGGCCAATGCTATGATGTAAGAAATTATCAGCATTGGAAAGAAAGAAACGAAATTATTTGCAGATATTGCACTTATGTACATAAGAAGTAAGTGGAGTGAACAGAACGATTATTAGAACTGATGGGAGATAAGAATAATAGCATTCATCTTTATCAGCAATAACCAACCAGAAAATTTAATTGGAAATTAGATACTACCTACAGTAGCTGCTAAAACTATAAAATCTCTGAGAAATAACCTCTCAAAGAAAGCAAAAAAAATTTATAGATAAAACCTTAAAACTATTTAAAGGACTTATGGCCTGGGCGTGGGGAAAAATAATAAGACCTAAAAAGCATAAACTTGAAGGTGAAAAATTGCTTATTACAAAACTAAGAGGTTCTTTGATTTGATGGACAGCATGGAGAAAGCTAGCAGATGACAATTGGGAAAAGATATCCATAATGTCTAAGTCCAACAGGGGATTGACATAGAGACTATGCAAACAAATCCTGCATATGGACAGGAAAATGATAGGAAACCCAGTAGACAAATGGGCAAAGGACATGGTCAGGCAATTTACAGATGGAGAAGCCGGATGGGCTAAGAAGTGCATGAAAGATGCAAGTCAAAAAAGGCAAATTTAAAATAAAAATTAGGTCCCATATCAGAATAGCAAATATTAGAAAATAGAAAATAGCAAATTTTAGTGAGTGTATGAGAACTCTTGAGTCCTGCTATTCAGAGTGTTAACTGGTAGGGCCATTCTGAAAAGAATTCTGGAAAAATTTAGTAAAATTAAGTATGTGTACCTATGACCCCAATCATCTCATGCTTCATATTTCCCAGAGGAATTTCACACATGTCCATAGGTGAACATTATTATTTGTTTATTGTGGCCTTGTTTAGGGTAGACATTTGAATTGCTTCCAGTTTTTATTAAAACAATACTGCTATGAATATTCTTGTATGTCTGCATGTGTGCCAGAGTTTTTCCAGTGGATTTGCTGGATCATAGGGAATGCACTTATCCAACTTTAACAGATGATCCTAATTGTTTTCCAAAGTAGTAATACAAATTAATATTCTCTCTAGTGGTCTATAAGAGACGTGGTTACTCTAGATTCTTGCCAACACTTAAGATTGTCAGACTTTTAAAATCTGCCAGTACTGTTGGTGTGAAACAGTATCTCAGTGTGATTCTAATTTTCATTTTCCTTATTACTAAAAAGTTAAGCAATATTTTTAGAATTTATTGGCCATTTGTGCTTCATTCTTCTATGAAACACATTGTGGGAAAGAATATAATATTTATGGTACCAGTCATTTAAAATTAGTTATATCTTGTTTGGAATTACTTGTTTGGAATCAGTCGAATTGCTGCCTCTGCTTGAAATACTGCTCCACTCTTTGGGTAAAATGTTCCATATATACCCATTAGGTAAAGCCTGTTAACTGTATTGGTCAAATCTTCTATATCCTTACTGATACTTTCCTACTTGATTTTGTGAGCCATCAACCACTGAGGTGAGTTAGAATCTTCAGCTCTACTGGTGTTTATGGAGTCCTTCTTGTAGTTCTTTTCAGTTTGCTTTATATAATTTCAAGCTATATTATTTAGAACTTAGTTTGGAATTTTTATATCTGACTGGTGAATCAACTTTTTCTCATTATGTAGTTAGTTTCAATGCCTTTTGCCTTGAAAGTACATTTTGTCTAATATTAGTATAGTAACATCAGCTTTATTTTGGTTATTTGTACTGTATATATTTTCATCCTTCTAATTTCAACTATTTGTTATCCTTATGTCACAAGCTTCTTTTTAAAATACCTTATAAGTGGATTTTATTTACTTTTATCCAATCTGATAGCCTTTACTTCTAAACGAGTTTATTTTTCCATTTAAATTTATATAATTATTCATATTTTATTTCCACATATTAATGTTTATTAAAACATTAATTTATGTTTTTTATTCAGCTTTTCTATGTTTTTTGGCTTTTGCAATTGAGGACTTTCTGAATCTGAAGATTTTAATCATGCAATCTGGAAAACTCAGCCATTATTTCTTTGAATATTGTCTCCCCCCACCTTTCCCCGTTCTCTCCTTCTGGAATTCTAATTTGACTTTTGTAGCTATTTCCCCTCTACCGTCTCTTTCAGATTGTCCATATGCTTATGTCTCTGTTCTGTGTTATGCAAAATATTCTGATTTCTCTTCCAGTTTGTTCTTTTATGCTATGTCTATTCTTTTGTTTAACCATCCTTTGAATTTTACATTAAAATTATTTTACTTTTCATTTCTAGAAGTTCTATTTGGTTCTTTTTCCATATCTTCCTTTTCATGGTTTAGTCTTTTGTTCCTTATTTGTATTCTAAATTCTCAGGCAAGTAGTTTATTATTGGAAGTGAACCCAGGGAACAGGAGTGGGAGATTGCAGAGTCAAACAAGGAAAGAGAAAAAGCCAATGTAAGAGAGCCCTGTGGATTTATCTCCACTGTGGACAACAAGGACTCAATCTCATCAGGACCTTTTGAAGAGCTGGCATCTCAGAATTGTCCACCCAAAGAGTGAAAGAAGGGAGCATTTATCCATTAGCTTCTGAATCCCATTGGTCAAAGGTTGACCCAGGGATGGCAACATCCCTGTACTTCCAGATACGCATGTATGAGGCCTGGTTGATTTCTGAAGACA